CAAACATGGTATAGGCGCCAACATTGGCGAAAAAACCCGGCCTCGAGGCTGGTGGGCGGACCCCTTCGCCTGGAGTCTCGTCCGTGGGGGTGGGTGGGGGAAGAATCAAAGAAAGGGGGGGAAGAAAAGAGAGAGAAAGAGATGATGAGGACATCGAGGAGAATTGGGGAGTAGAGCGACGGGAAGATCCTGGTGAGGATGCAGCGAAAATGGCGTGAGACCAGAGCGGGATCTTCGCTGAAGCTGTCGCTGACGCTCCCTGTGGGGCACGATTCTCGTTAAGAGAGAGAGAGAGAGAGAGAGAGAGAGAGAGAGAGAGAGAGAAAAAAAAAAAAAGAGAAAGAGAAAAATAGAGAGAGAGAGAGAGAGAGAGAAAGAGAAAATCACCCTCGCTAGAGCTTCAGGCTGGAACTCCATGTGGGGCGCGACTCTAGCGAGGATTGCGGCTACATTTGGCGCGGAAGAGAGGGTCACCCTCGCTGGAGCTATAGTTGGAGCTCCCTGAGGGGCGCGATCCTCGTGAGGGGTGCGCCGAAATGGGCGAAGAACCCCGGCCTGCAGCCAGTCCGCGGACCTCCTGGCCTGGAGGCTGGTCCGTGGGGCTGGGTGGGGGGAGACAAAGACAGGGGAGGAGGATGAGGAGAGGGAATGAGAAAAGGTGGAGGAGGACAACGAAGAGAATTGGGGAAGAGAGCGGCGAGGAACCAAAAAGGGTCACACCCGCGCTGGAACTGAAGCTGGAGCTTCCTGTGGGCACGATCCTCGTGAGGAAGCAGCGGGACCGGCGTGGAACCAAAGAGGATCACCCCCGCTGGAGCTGTAACTGGCGCTTCCTGTGGGGCACCATTCTTATGAGGTGTGCGGCGAGGTTGGCGTGAAACCAGAGACGTTCACCCTTGCTGGGGCTGGCATTGGAGCTCCCTGCGCGGTCAGATCCTCGCGAGGAATGCGGCGGAATGGGCGTGGAACCAGAGAGCCTCACACTGGCTGAAGCTGTCGTCGGATGTCCGTCTGGGGCGCGATGCTCGTGAGGGGTGCGCCGAAATGGGCGACAAACCCTGGCCTGGAACCAGTCCGCAGACCTCCTGGCCTGGAGGCTGGTCCGTGGGGCTGGGTGGGGGAGGAGACAAAGAAAGAAAGGGGACGAGAAGGGGGAAAGTGAGGAGGACGACGACGACGACGACGAGAATTGGGGGAGTGGCGAGGAACCAAAGAGGGTCACCCTCGATGGAGCTGAAGCTTGGACTCCTTGTGGGGCGCGACCCTCGTGAGGATGCGACGAAATTGGCGTGGGGCCAGGGAGGGCCAGCCTCGCTGTAGATGTGGCTGACGCTCCTGTGGGGCGCGATCCTCGTGATGGGGTGCGGCGACATAGGCGTGGAACCACATTGTCAAAGGGTTTGAAGCTGTGACTGGAGCTCCTTCAGGACGCGATTTTCGAGAGGGGTGCGGCGAGATAGACGTGGAAACGCAGAGGGTCACCCTCGCTGGAGCTACAGTGGGAGCTCCCTGTCGGGCGCGATCCTCGTGAAGGACGTGTCGAAATGAGCGAGGAACCCTGGCCTGGAGGCCGATCCGCGAGCCCCCTGATCTGGATGCTGATCCGTGGGGTTGTGGGGGAACTGGAAAAGCCGCGCCGTGACGGCACATCGGCTGCAGTAGCACTGAAGCGAAACAGACACATCCTCATAGTGGCCCGCCTGCTCGAACAAACACACGCAGGAGGGGGGGGGGAGGAAAAAGAGGGAAACTGGCAGGGGCAACAGCGTCAAGCAAGTAAGTATGAACTAATGCGGCAACGTTGCTGGACAGTGGCCTTCCACTCCTGGAGAGAACCGCTGTCGCTCGACAGCGCCACTGCTAAACTGCCCTCGTCGTGCTGCTCGGCGCTCAGTGCATGAGCCCTGACTCTCTGGCCCCAGGACACCCTCGGGCGCCCTCGCTTTCTAACGCCGCCTGGTCGTGCCAAACTTGTTGAAGAAGGTTGGAACACAGCACGTCGCACAATGCAAGTGCCTGGCATCATGGCCACCCGTCCGAACAAGCACAACTGTTTGGCGATCAGCTGTCAGCCAGCGGGACCGACGACGCAACGTCCAAAACCTGCTGGTTGGATACCCGGGAGACCATCGGGTGCGGGATGCCCCAAATCTTCCTCAAGCAACACACGTGGCACGAATTCATGCGGAAGGATTCTGTCTTGTTCAACCTCGCCGTCTACAAGCTGTACCAGAAGTTTGTGACGATGCATGCTTCGTAGATGCGTTGCTTCCTTTTCTGGTTTAGAGAGAAATGGTTTTACACCTTCTTCAGGAGCGTAAGCGCGTTTCGCGCCTCGCCCAACCTGCGTGCCACGGCGCACCTGGCACTGCCAGTGGTAGTGAGCAAGCAGACCGCCCAGATAGACGCGCTGCTCCGCCTTCGGGATGGGGTGGCCGCTCGGGTCGTAAATTGGCGGCGGGTTGCCCACCTGCAGCACCGCGGTCTTGTCCCAGTTCGGTAGCAACCCGCACGGAGCAGCCCGCGAGAGAAAACTGTCGAGAACGCACTGTCAGATGGCCGGCAGATCAGCGCCACACCGCCCGCGCACTCGACGCCATCTGTTCGGCGGCCCCCGCGTTCCCAAGTCACGTCCTCCACGATCACGGACCAAACAAATATGAACAGGCATGGTGAGGGAGAACATCCCTGAGCTATGCCCGCAGACTACGCTCGAGCGTCAAACTCCTCACTGAAATCGCGCGCGGTGAAAGATCCGCGCTTGTAGATGGATGCGACCATGCACACATGCTCGCTAGGCAGGCCGAACCTGCGCAGCGCCACTTGCATGGCGCCGGGATCGATGCGATCGAAAACCTTGGACCAATCGAACAGCAACGCTGTGAATTCCCCATCCTTGAGATCCTGCGCGGCGCCCAGCATCCTCTGCGCGGCGAACGCGACCAAATCTGCTACGGCCACGTCGAAACCCATGCTGGTTATCCCGTGGCCGCCCCTCCACGCCTCCAGATCTCACTCGTTGCAAAGTGAGGCGCGCAAGCACCTTGTACCCAACTGCAAGTAAAAAGATTGGGCGGTAGTTGGCGGGCAAGGCTGGTCAGCTCTCTTGAAGAGAGCGAGAACAGAGAAGCGCGACCACTCCCGCGGGATCGACTTCGAAAGCCAGCACTGGTTGCACAGCCGCGACAGAATCGCAAGGGCGTCATCACTCCGGCCCCAAACTGCCCAGAAGTCGGGCGGCACGTTGTCTGGCCCGCTTGCTCGGCCTCTTCGTAACCGCACAAACACTGTCTTGAGCTCTGTTGTCAAGAACTCCCCACACGGCATGCCAAGCGTTGCGCGAGCCTCGGCTCATCGGGCACGCCGGCACCTGCGCCTGGGCTTCGCTGCCACTGAACATCTTGCAAGTACGCCGCCAACGTCAAGGTGTCTGCCCTCTCGCTAATTAGCACCCGCCAAATCGCCAGCCGAGTTGCGAAATGTGCCTTCTTGTTGGCGGGCATGCCCCATCCGAAGACGATTGATTGCACGCCAGCCGCCGTTCGCCAATTCTTCTTCTAACCGAGACGCGCGGTCTTTCTTGGCCGCTGACCTGATCTGCGTGTTCAGGGAGGATTCTAGCGCGAACTGCCCCGGCGCCCTCGAGTTGCTTCTCAGCTCGATGAGGTCGAGCGTCGGCGCTCGAATCCAAGGCCTCTTGGCCCTGACTGAGCGGACATGTAAAGCACTGTCTGCAGCAACCTCCATGCTGGACCACACCCTGTCCGCCACAGCATCGACGCTCCCATCTCCAACATCCTGGAAGATGTCTCGGGACAACTCAGCAAAACGCTTACAGAATGCGTTCGCGACTGAAGATCTCTCAAGACTTTTGATGACCTGCTTCCCCCGGTTCTCCGTAATCGGTTTCTTCGGGATGTGAGCGCCTAGATCTACAATGACAGCAACATGATGCGACTGCAGAGCTATATCCCGTCCGCTCCGGACATCGCGAGCAACTCCAACCCAATTTTTGGTGTACCAATACGTGATCTAACTCAGCAAACTTGTTCGCCGGGATCTCATCCAATGGGCGAGCAGAGATGCCAAAATTGGTTGGTCGTCGGTTGGTTGCGCACGGGCATGCCGGAGCGGAACTGTGTATCTATAGCGATTCCATCCATCCCCACGCAGGGCTGACAAATATGAGTGCCGGTCCAATCTCCAGTGCCGCGTACGTGTGCTCTTCAAGAAGATTGCTGAGTCGAGGTCACCTTTTCCTCCTCCTTCTCCTCCTCCTCCTCCTCGCCCTCCTCCTCCTCCTCCTCCTCCTCCTCCTCCTCCTCCCCCGCCTCCTCCTCCTCCTCCTCCTCCTTTTCCTCCTCCTCCTCCTCCTCCTCCTCCTCCCACTCCTCCTCCTCCTTCCTCTCCTCCTCCCCCTTCCCCTCCTCCTTCTCCTCCTCCTCCTCCTCGTGAGAGGTTGCCTACCCCCCCGGCAGAGCCGCCCCTGGCGGACTTCCGAGGACATCCGAGTTCCGAGTTCCTCCTCCTCCTACTCTCTCATCTCTCCATTTCCTCCCCGTGCTGGTCGCTCATCGGGAGTACGGCCCTCATTTTCCTTCAAGTTCACGGGGCGGCGACATGCCACTGAGGTGCCGACACCGCCATGCAAAATACCGTGCTGCCGCTCCCAACCCTCCACCCGCCCGCGGGTCGAAACCCAGTACGTTAGCGATGCCATCCTTCTTCCTGCTGCCGCCTGCTTCTTCCGAGCCAGGCGGGCACTCATCGTCCTCCTCCTGGCTGCTCCCCCTCCTCCGCGGTCGGTCGCTCGGCCGCTGGAACGCGCCCCCGGGTTGGGAAAGCTCCTGGCGCCTGCCTTTTCTTGGGGCCTTGCTCGCGTCGGACCTGCGAGGGAGGTGCGGGAACAGCGCGACGCCCCGATCTCGGGGGCGACACGACGACCGACCGAGCCGAACCGACCGAACGCAGCCGACCGCGACGCCCAGGCCCCGCCGCGCCTGCTCGGTGATGCTGGGCCCCCTGCGGCTCCGCCCCCTGCTCGGCAAGCGGCTCAGGAGGACGTCGGCCTCGCCGTCCTCCGGGCTCACGTTGCGGGTCGTCGTCGTCGTCGCCGCCGCCGCCCGCCGCCGCCGCCGCCACCCGCCGCCGCCGCCGCCGCCGCCGCCGCCGCCGTCGTCGTCGTCGTCGTCGCCGCCGTCGTCGTCGTCGTCGTCGTCGTCGTCACCGTCGCAACGAAGTGGTGGTCATTTCTAGAAGGTCCGGGTCGTGGTCGTCGAAGTCGCGGTCGTCGTCGTCGTCGTCGTCGCGGTACACGCTTCCGATGCGTCCGTCGCGCAGGGCAGTAAAGGGCAACAACCTCGCCGAGGCGCTCAGGCCCTGACAATTCCACCAAATCCGTCTGGCGACCGTGGTCGTGGTCGTGGCCGTCGTCGCCCTACACATGCTCTTCGAACTCCTCCTGCTCCTACTTCTGCCAGGCGCCTTGAGTACGTATTGCCTCCCTTTCTCTAGGATCATCCGCCGCCGTCTCCTCGCTTTCCTCCGTTGCCTCCTCCTCCTCCTCTGAGATATTCAGCCCCTTCATCGGCCAGGGCATCAGGCTTAAGAGGAATGTGGGGCACAAAGGCGAGGAAGAGGAACACATAGAGAGTGACGAGGGAGGAAACGATGCGCGAGCGCGCGAAAATACATTCTCAGCGTCGGCAACTTTCGCGCGCCCCCCCCAAATCGCTGACTCCGACATCCTCAAGACGATGGAGTTCGGTCGGCGCTTTCTGCAGCGCGAAAACGCAACATGGGAAGGGATGGTCCAGGCAGGGAGAGGAGGGAAAACAGGAGTGGAGGGCGCGAGGCGGCAGCAACGATGGGGGATCGCGCCGAAGGGAGGGGGGACCTCGGGCTCTCCCCCTCCCTCAGGAAACCCTTGGAACCCCGAGGAGATTGGGCGCCCATTATGGGGGGGGCGATCCAGGATGGGGGGAGAAAGGTGCCCTTTGTGGCACTGAAGGCCCCGTTCTGGGGCCCAAAAGACCCCTTTTCCGCAGACCCCGATGCCCCCAATGTACCGCCCTCCCATTACGCGCCCCCCACACACAGAACCATCGAAAGGACTCTGGGATTGATGCACTTCGCCGCTGGCGCCATTCGTCACCCGAAGACCCTCCACCGAGACCTCTGGAAGAGACCTCCGACCACCAGGAGGCCGCAGATGGACGCCCGCGGCCACCGAAGGCTCCCCTCGAGAGCGATCAATGCAGGCGGCGCGGCTTCGGCCGCCCAACGGGCTCCCCTCTGCGGGGAACTGGAACTGGAGTTGCCTACGTGACAAAAGTCATACTGGGGGCAATGCTGTGAGACAGAGAAGGCTGATCAAGAAACAGTGCAATGCTCACGACCCTGCTGACGCTCTTGGGAGCGGATGGTCTCCTCTTCCCCTCTGGGAGGATCGAAATTCGAGGATCGAGGTTCGTGGGCGTTGTTCTTGCCATATGCCAGGGCGTCCGGCTGAAAGAAACCTCCAGAGGTCTCTGAAGGTCTCCTCGAAACACCTTCAGATCTCCGGGTGGAGGATGCGGGTGAGAGGAAGCGACAGGAGGGGATTTGATCAGGGGTGGGGGGAATTCTGGCTTGGAATCAACGACACTTCGTTACGACAGATCGGCGGTAGGCCCCCGATCTTGAAGCCGGACTTTCCTGGGCAGCCACGATCGCGGATGATTCATGGGCGATTCGGGGTCAACGAGTCCCCCCCTCAGCCAGACCCTCCAGGCGTGCCGGAACGAAAAAGCAATGCGTCTGGAAGGGCGACACCCTTGCGGCAGAAGATCCCAAACGACTTCACGCAATTCACGATGAGGGGCCACGATGGGCCACCGATTTCGGGAGCCCGGTCTCCCTCACTGGGCGTCACAATACATGTGTATCTATACATACATATATATATATATATGTATGTCCTCAGAAGGAGAGAGACACATCGGACCCTTGCAGACAACCTGTGAAAAGAAATGCCAAGTGGAGCTCGCAGCCGCGGGACACTCTCTCGAGCCGGACCGACCCGTGAGGGCCCCGTGGCCCGAAACGGAGCGCAGGGACGCCCACCCGCACTTGCGTCTTGTTGCGCCGCCTCCCTCCGAGTTGATCTTCCGGGCCACAAGCACGAACTCTGGGCGGCTGATCCCATGGCCAGCCAGAAGTTGAGCAGGGACCAACCGTCCCGGCATTCCTATAGGCCTACCCCGACATGTTCTTAGAACCCCCAAATGTTCGGACAACAAAAACCAATGTTCTTTGAGCAAGGGCCCGATGTGTGAAAGCAGAGCAGCTCGGCCAGAAATGCTCTGAGACCCAGTCGTGCAGACCAAAAAAAAGGTTCTTAGAACATTCCTTGGTGGGCCTACAGGCCTGCAGGCAAGCCAGGACGTGTCGCCACTGCTCGATCCTCGCCATCACTCGGACGTCCATTCCCGTGCATGTTTCGGTTCCGTGCGCGTACCTTCTCGCAAGACGGCCCAAGAGGCTCCTCGACGGTCCTCCCGAGAAGAAGGCACACGTGCGACAGCACGCGGGAGCTTGCGGAGCCTTCCTGGACGATCCCATGGCTCCCCGACAAAAAAGCCCTCGACGGGGCGCAGCCGACGCACGACGCGCCTGGACATTACCTCCCCACAGCACGCGCGGGAGCGCTTGCGAGAGAGGCATTCTGGAACCCCCCTCAGTCGGCATCGGCCCTCCAGCTCTTCGGCGCGCCGGGGAGGGAGTAAGGGGGGGCAGGCGGGGGAGGGGGAGGCGGGAGCTTGCGAGAGAAAGCATCCGGAGACCTTCCCGCGGGATCGGCCCTCCAGCTCTGCGGCGCGCGGGGGTGGAGGAGAAGGCAGGAGGGGGGAGCGCCGCCACCCGAGAAGGGCTTCGTCCAATGCTACACGCAGAGAGGAGAGGGGGGGGAACGGCTACGGTCGGAGCGAGGACAGAATCCTTCAAGAGCATGGGTCCCCGCGCCGGCCGAAACTGAGGAACGTTCGAGGGTGCCCTGCCCCAGAAGGCACACGAACATGCGACAAACGCGACGAACATCAGGGCACCCTCCCCGAACCGACCTCGGTTTTATACCTCGGGCCGGCCGTACGCGAGGCCGAGGTCGCGCGCAGCTCCTCCCCCGCCTGCCCAGGGGTCCGCGCACATCGGCCTCGGCCAGGCCGTGCAGCGCTCAAGCCGCGCTGCCATGTCACTTCGTGTCCCCCCTCTGCGGGGAGGAGGCGGGGAGGGGGAAGGAGGACCAAGGTGGAGGGATGGGGGACGCGAAGGGACGGCGCCGACGACGATGACGACGACCCTGACGACGACGCAGACGCAGACGCAGACGCAGACGCAGACGCAGACGCAGACGCAGACGATGACAACGACGACGACGACGACGACGACGACGACTGTGACACAAGATGCGACTGCGAAGCGACGGCTGCCCCGCCGCTGCCCAGGCCACCGAAGGAGCCGCATGAGGCCAGCCTTGGCCGCCCTGAAGAGCTGGACAGCCCAAAATGCGAAAACCATTAGAGGCCGCCTAGGTGAGCGACGATCAACAAACGAGTCTTACGCGAGATGACATAGCGACCTTACGCGGCGGCTTACGCGGGCCGCCAGCGCGGCACGCTACATTGGAGACGAGGGCGCGTACGCGCGACCTTGCGCGGACAGCTGACGCGTCAATGTCGGCGCAGACGACCCCGTTCTTTTGCTTCGCTCAGGTGGGGTCCGACCAAATGGGGTCGGAGGATCGCGCCGCATCGTCGAAGCATCACCGATGTGTCGGCGACGTCGGCGATGCATCGGCGACTTCGGCGCTGAGAAGATCGGGCGCCAGATCGGGCCGCATCGCCGATGTATCGTCGACGCGGAGCGATCCTCCCTTAGACCCCCTCTGCTGAAGGGGCCCAAGGACACACAAATACGTACACACAAATAACAGGATTCCCAATATTTTCACATATTTTCTTGGTTTTTGTCTTCCCCCCCACTTCCCATGATCGTGTCTGTGTGTTTTTCCTCTCCTGATCTGCTCGGACCCCCATCTGGTCGGGGATGGACAGACCCCCCTTTAGTAAAACGTGGTGTAGTGAAAACGACCTCGGGCCCAAACCTGGCGGGCGCAAGCCTGGATAATGACGGCCGCGGCGCCCTCTGGCGAACCGAAAACGGACAATTCACTAATCGACGTGTCAGGGTAGGAGGTCTGTCCACCCCCGATCTGGGAAGCCTCGGACCATGCAGAAGCCCCTGGGGATACTCAGCGGCTGTGGCCTCTCTCGCGCAGGCCGGCGACGGCCGCTGTCCCAGGACATCCGACGAGGTGATGCTTCCAGCCCGCGGGCCTTAAATCTCTCGTCCCCAGGGAAAGCCCCCCCACCCGGGGGGAAATCGTCCTGATGGCCAGAGGGGCCCAAAAACGGCCCCGGGAGGCAGAGCATTGATGGAAGCGGTGCGGGGATTGAGAGAGTCGATATCTTGGAAGCCCAGGAACGGCGGTGAAACAAACCTGCCCCCAGACCTGTCCAGGCCGAGCTCTGGCCAGGATTTTTCGGATCCGACGATGTGACATTTCAATGCGCGGCCTTTTGAAGCCAATCTTTCGCCCTGGCTGTCCCGGGGCTCTGCAGCGGGCCTCATGTGCCGAAGCCGAGGAAAAACCCTGGGGTTGAATACATCATTTGCCTGAGGCCCGTGACCTCGAGCCTCGAATCCTGATCGCGAACGCAGCCCTGGGCCACACTGCTCTGCGGCATCCTCGAGCCGAGCCGAGCCGTGAAGGCCCTGGGGCCCGAGCCTGGGCGAAGACGCCCAGTGAGGACAGAAATGCGACGCCAGGGGTCTCGGGGTCGGAGGCGGCCAGGGGGTCCGAACTGACTGGATCTTGAGAAAATCGATCAAGAAAGAGGGGAGAAAGGCAAATCCGCTCAAAAGAGTCTCCGAATCGGAACTCCTCGCGAAGTCCATCTGGTGCAGATTGTCACCGTGGATTCGTTTTCGACGGTCCAGGGGCCCGGAAGCAGCCCCTGGAGGCCGCAGAAGGCAACAACAACCACTGGCCCCAAAACCTCAAACAACTCGCCCGCACTTCCCACTTGCGGGGACCAGTGCTGGGCCATCTCGCACCCTTAGACTCCAATCGCGGGGAACCCCAAACTTCGGGGCTCCAAAACCGTGCGGTGACGGACCGCGTGGTGACCTCGGAACCTCCGACGACCTCATCACGCGGTCCGTCACTGCACGGCTTCGGGCCCCCCTGGAGGCCCCTCCCGGGTCCCAAAACCGTGCGGTGACCCCGATGATGATGCTGCTGATGATGCTGCTGCTGCTGATGATGCTGACGATGTTGATGATGCTGATGCTGATGCTGATGCTGATGCTGATGCTGATGCTGATGCTGATGATGATGATGATGATGATGATGATGATGCTGGTGCTGATGCTGTTGGTGATGATGCTGATGCTGCCGACGACTATGTTAAGTATGCTGATAATGATGATGCTGATGATGCTGATGATGATGACGCTGCTGATTATGATGATGATCATGATGATGATGGTGGTGTTGATGATGCTGATGCTGATGCTGATGGTGATGATGCTGTTGATGGATGATGATGATGATGCTGATGCTTATGCTGATGATGCTGCTGCTGCTGCTGCTGCTGCTGATGGGGCTGATGATGATGGTGGTGATTTCTGGTGCTGTGCTGCTGCGCGTGTGTGCGCAGCGTGGCAGACGGCAATCAGCCTGGCCAAAGGTCCGCGAACCTGGCCCCAGACTCGCTTGCAAAGCTCTTTCGAACTGGCATGACTCTCCACGCGGTGTGGTCACCACACCGCCTGGGAGCAGCCGACAACGGAGCCCTCAACGAAGCCGCCTGCCCGCGGGGTCCTGCAGCTCCTCGACGCGCCAGCCGCCCCCGACGGCGGGGCACCGCACGCCCGAGGCGTCGAGGCGCAGCTCGGAGAGAGCTGCCCGGCACCTCGCGGCGGCGCCGCCGACGGGGTCGTCGTGGTTGTCGTCGTCGTGGTCGTCGTCATCGTCGTGGTCGTCGTCATCGTCCTGGTCGTGGTCGTGGTCGTCGGGGTCGTCCTCGTCGTCGTGGTCGTGATCGTGGTCGTGGTCGTCGTCGTCGTCGTCGTGAACGTCGTCGTCGTCGTCATCGTCGGGGTCGTCGTCTCGGTCGTGGCCGTGGCCGTGGTCGTCGTCATCGTGGTTGTTGCCGTTGCCGTTGCCGTTGCGGCCGTCACCGTGGCCGTGGCTGTGGTCGGTGGGTGTCATTGTCGTCGCCTGCGTCGTCGACGTTGTTGTCGTCTTCGAGGTCACCGACGTGGCCGTGGTTGACGAGGAAGGATGAAGGAGAGGAGAGGAGACTGACGGCAGAAGCATCCAGCTTGCTCCTACAGTCACGGTGGGTCCCCACTCGGTTTCCCGCTGTCGTCGCTGGCCGCATCGGCGTCGGAGTCGTACAGAGGGCGCGAGGAGCGCTTGAAGACTGGCGGCGCGCACAAGAGGGCAAGGGCCTGGGGGGCGGCCTTCTTTAAGGCCTGGCAAGAGAAGCGGACGAAGAACTGTGTAATATCAGCCAGCGTGGACCCCAAGCAAGTAAATTATCATATTGTGGACGCGTAAGCTATGTGGTGCCAGCTATGCGGTGCAAGCTATGTGGTGCAATGTACGTGGTACAAGCTCGATGCGGCAACGAAGCGGCAACGTGGCGAAACCTCGCTGGACCCACCCAGCGCACGAGGCGGCAACGAGGCGGCAACGGACGGCAACGTCGCGAAACCTCGCCGGACCCACTCAGCGTACGAGGAGGCAGCGACACAGCGACGGGCCGCAACGTGGCGAAACCTCGCTGGGCCCACCCAGCGCACGAGGCGGCAACGAGGCAGCGACGGGCGGCAACGTGGCGAAACCTCGCCGAAACCACCCAATTTCTTAGGAAAGCGAACAAGAGCCCCTGAGTGCAAACACTGCTCGGGGGAACAAGCTATTCCGCTCTGGCACGCCTGACCTTGGAAGGCTGACGCAATCATATCCCCACGCCGCCGAGAAGATATACAATTTCCAAAGACGGGGGCGACCTGGTGTACCACCCTCAATCCCTGTAAATACGCGCTCGAAGGTGTCTGGTTGCCCAAGTGCAACCCATTACGAGACATGTTAGGACCCTTCTCCATCTCAGCTACCCAGGAAAAGGTACTTCATACATTGCATACCCAAATTTGCCCTTCCCCACACCAAAATACATCGAATGGTCGGTCGAACGGTGGGCGGGTTTCCCAGAAGATGGCGGCGGTCCCCAGGGGATGGGTTCAAGAAACATCGCAGGCGGGTGAAAGGCGAACAGATTTCCCGAAGTTAGCGGCGGCCCCAGGATGGGCCACCTCGTAAATCAACACATATTCCCTGATGCATCTTCGCCAGAAGTGGATCGGGGCGACAAAGACGACAACGAACTGCGCAAAATGAACCCTATGAGCCCTATTAGCATTATCAGCCCTCCTGCGAGTGAGGAGAACCAAATGCAAATTAGGGATGCTGGACACCAGCATGGAGAGTCCGCCTCAAGAGTGCAACGGGTGACACGTGTCACCCCCGAAACCGCGTGAGAAAAACCAATGGTAAATTTTGGACTCTGGGAGACAGACAGCATGGGGTCATTTGGCCCGAAACAAGCAGCGGGTGACACGCGTAACCCCCGAAATCGTAGGATAAAGGCCGATTGTGCATTTGAGATTCTGGGAGCCAACGTGGGGTCATTGGACCTGAGAAGAGCAGCGGCTGACACGTGTCACCTCCGAAACCGCGTGATAAAAACAAAGTGTAAATTTGGTGGTATGGGCGCAGGCAACAGATCATTCAGCCATGTGTCACACCCGACATCTTGTGACAAAAACCGCATGTAAATTTGGAATGGGGGGGGGTCAAACTGGGGTCAATCAGCCTGACAAACAACTAATAAACATAACAAGTGACACATGTCATCCCCAAAACCGCGTGAGAAAAAAATGTAAATTCAGGATTGTGGAAACCAACACAGGGCCAATCATCCTCAGAACAACAACGGGTGACACGCGTCACCCCCGAAACCGCGTGAGAAAAACCGAGTGTAAATTTGAGATTATGGATTATGGGTGCCAGCAAGGGGCCATTTGAACTGGGACAAGCAACGGGTGACGCGCGTCAAACCCGAAACCGCGTCAGAAAAACCAATTGTAGATTTGAGATGCTGGGAGCCAACGTTTGATCATTTGGCTTGGGAAACGCAGCGGGTGACACGTGTTACTCCCGATACCGATTGAGAAATACCAATTGTGAATGTGTGGGTACTCACAGAAGCCAATAAAAAGCCAATCAACGTCAGAACAACAACGGATGGCTCGTGCCGTCCCGAAACCGCGTGAGAACAATTGATTGTAGACTCTGGATCCTGGGAGCCAGCATGGGGCCAAGCAACCTCAGAAAAAGCAGCGGGCGACACGCGTCACCGCCGAAACAGCGTGAGAAAAAAACGCATGTAAATTTGAGATTATGGATTCTGGGTGCCAACGTGGAGCCATTTGGCTTTGGAAAAACAGCGGGTGACGCGCTTCACTCCCGAAACCGCGTCAGAAAAACCAATTGTATATTTGAGATGCTGGGAACCAACGTTTGATCATTTGGCTTGGGAAACGCAACGGGTGACACGTGTTACTCCCGACACCGATTGAGAACAACAAATTGTGAATGTGTGGGTACTTCCCCCGCCCGCGCCCTGTCTCCCCAATTAGTGCTTTGCGCGGCCCGCCTAGCTCTTAACCGGAAGAGGCTCGCTCTCGACCCGCAGACCAAAAAGTGTGGGTACTTGTGTGAGCCAGCAAAAGGCGAGTCAGCGTCAGAAAAGCAACGGATGGCACGTGCCATCCCCGAAACCGCGTGTCAACAACTGATTGTAAATTCTGGATCCTGGGAGCCAGCATGGGGCTAAGCAACCTCAGAAAAAAAGCATCGGGCGACACGCGTCAGCCCCGAAACCGCGTGAGAAAACAACAAATTATACACGTCCTTATTTTCTAATTGTACTCATTTCTACTTGTGCTCGTTTCTAATTGTTCCTGGCCCCCTAGTGGCCAGGAAGAGGCCCAGGACAGTACAATTAGAAATGAAAGGATCTTGGCCCCCAAAAAATCAAAGAACTTAGAAGTGAACAATGTGTAGACGTCTTTTGTCTTTGGAGCCAACACGGGGCCATGTGGCCTGAGAAGAGGAGCGGGCGGAACGTGACACCGCCGACACCGTTGGACGAAGACCACCTGTGAATTCTGTGCCCTGGTGCCCGGCAAAGATCATTCAGCCTGGAACAAGCCGCAGCGGGTTTCGAGGGGGGCATCCCCGACTGGGGTGCTGAGATGATGGAGGTCTGGATGGGGATGGGGGCACGGGTCGGTTCGACGGTGCTGACGGGTGGAGCCAGCCTTGAACAAACCGCAGCGGGTGACGCGTGTCAGCCGCGAAGCCGTGCGAGAAGAACAGGTGAACTTCTGCGATCGTGTGAGCCAACATGGGGCCAATTGGCCCGGGAAAGGCAGCGGGTGACACGTGCCATCCCCGAAGCGGCGTGAGGAAACAACCACTGCACATGTCGGGTTCTGGGGGCCAGCGCAGGGCCGATCAGCCTCAGAAGAGCAGCGGGTGACACGTGTCACCTCCGAAACAGTTTGGGAAACAAACAAGTGCTTGGTGCCATGGGGGGGGCCAACAGCGGGTCATTCAGTTTCGGACAAGCAAAAGGTGACATGTGTCACACCCGAAACCGTGCGAGAAAAGCACTTGCACAATGCGTGATGCTAGGAGTCGGCATGGGGTCGGACAATGTCACCCCCGAAACTGCGTGAGCAAAACCAATCGTACATTCGGTAGTCTGGTGGCCAACATGGGGCCAATCAGTCTCAGGAAAGCAACGGATGACACGCGTCACCCCCGAAACCGCGTGATAGAAACCACATGTAAGTTTGCAACTCTGGGAGCCAACAGCGGGCAATTTCGGCTTAGGGAAACAGCGGGTGGCACGTGTCACCTCGACGACGTTTGAGGACAACACAGCTCTGAATTTGGTATTATTGGGCCCAACAAAAAATCCTTCAGCCTGGGACAACAAACAACGGGTGACACGTGTCACCCCCGAAACTGCGTGAGACACACCATTTGTTAATTCGGGATTCTGGGATACATAGGGTCAATGAACTTCAGAAAAGGAAACGGGTGACACGTGTCACCCCCGAAACCGCGTGAGAAAAACACAAACGTAAATTCGGTATTCCAAAGGCCAATATAGGGTCAGTCAGTGTCAGAACAACAATGGGAAACACGCGTCACCCCCGAACCCGTGTGGGGATAGCCACTTGTAGATTTGGGGTTCTAGAAGCCAACATGGGGCCATTTGGCCTGAGAACAGCAGCGGGTGACACGCGTCACCCCGAAACCGTTCGAGCAAGACCAAGTGTGAGTTTGGGATTACTGGAACCAACAAAAAATTCAATCAACCTGGAACAAAAACAAGTGACACGTTTCACCCCCGAAACCGCGTGAGAAAGACCAATTGTATGATACCGGAGAAAAAACCCAATCATAATCTTTGTAGGGCTGTAGGGCTATAGGCCAAAATGGGCTATATGGCTATAGGGTAGTAGAACTACAGGGCTATAGCGCTATAGGGCTATAGGGTATAGGGGTATAGGGCTATAGAGCTATACGGCTAGAGGGCTATAGGCCTGTTGAGCTATAGGGCTATAGGGCTATAGAGCTATAGAGCTGTAAGGCTATAGGGCTATAGGGCTATAGGGCTATCGGGCTATAGGGCTACAGGGCTATAGGGCACCCCTGGGCACCCCCGGGCACGCCCAGGCACCCGGGCACCCGGGCACCCGGGCACCACCGGGCACCCGGGCACCCGGGCGTGCGGCGCAATTCGGCGGCAAACCTAACCTGACCGTATGAATCCGCTAGGATCTCTACAGAGGCAAGCTCTGACTGGGGAAAAGTTGGAGTTCTGGGAGCCAACATGGGGCCAATCAACCTCAAACAAAAAAACGAGTGACACGTGTCACTCCCGAAACCGTCCGAGAAAAACAATTGCAAATTTGAGATTCTGGCAGCTAGCATGGGGTCGGTCAACCTGAAAAATAAGCGAATGACACGCTTCACCGCCGAAGCCGCGCGAGAAAAACCAATTATGAATTGGGGATTTGGGGAACCAAAACGAGGTCAGTCAGCCTCAGAAAAGCAGCGGGTGACATGCGTCACCCCCGAAACCGTGTCAGGCAAATTCGGGATGGGATTCTGGGAACCAACATTGGGTCACTTGGCCTGAGAACAGCAACGGGTGACACGTGACACCGCCGAAACCGCGAGAAAGATCAATCGTAAATTTGGGGCACCGGGGAGCCAAAAAAAGATCATTCAGCCTGGAAAAACCGTGTAAGAAATTGCAAGCGTGACGTTACACCCCCACGGGGTGAGGGGGGCGCAACGAAAGGCCCAGAGACGACGACGACGACGAACGACGAACGCCGACGAACGACGTCGTCGACGTCGACGGCGACGGCGACGGCGACGACGACGACGACGACGAGGACGACGGCGACGACGACGAATTGCGGACGCCCCATGGGGGTGGTGCGCAAGGCGACGAGGACGACGAACGACGACAACGACGACGACGATGACGACGACGACGACAACGACGACAACGACGACGACGGCGGCGGCGACGACGATCCACCGACGAAACTGCGGATGCCGCAAGGGGTGGGGGGCCGATTGACGAGTGAGTGGGTACCGAAATAAGATTCTTAGCGCAAATCGCATTCTGCATTCTTATTGGTCCGCGGGAGAGGGTGGGTGTCGAAAACTATGCCGCTGACCAATGCCAAAACACATTTCGCAACGATCTGACAGTCTGACCCCGCGGAGGGTGGGTATTGAAAAATGTGATGGAACGTTTCCCCGCGTGGCGCGCCGGCCGCAAGGTGGGTGGGCGCAACAAAAAACAACTACGGATTTTCCCGACGAGTTCGCAAGGGGGGGTTGGGGGCGTAAAGCCGCTCGCCCCCCTCATACTTTCCAGCTGCTCTGGGACAGTTCCCGACGGTGGAAAAATATACACAATTCTTCGCCCGCTGAAAGAATACAGTGCGCTTCTTCGAAGCGGTCCGCCCATTCTCGGAGGCCTGCGAGAGTGCATCTTAGCAGTCAGTGGGGGGGGCCTCTGAGAGGCGGATCGCCTGAGTAGAACAGAACAGGGCGGGGATGAGTCATCCAGTCCCACTCTCGGGACGTCGCTCATTATAACACCTCATCCCCGGGGTGACGCCATGATGCGATAAACTCAGGATACGCTCCAAGAGTTCTGGAGTACCTGGCGGCCCTCGTATCCGCAGCCTCGCGGGTTAGGGGGACTCGGGTTGGCCTGACGGGGCCGTCAAAAAAACGACGAGACCCAATATGAACTTTGACACGAAAACCCGCCGCAAACATCCTACGAAAACTGAACCGTCAAAATCCAGGACGGGTTCGTCAAAAAGCGTCGGCAAACCCAAGCTCCGGCGTACTCGAGTCTTACGGTTCCCCGAGTAGCGCGTATCACCATGGTATGGCCTCCCGTGCTCCTTCGACAGAAGGGCTAGCCCCCCTCGCCCTGCCACGACCCCTCGCGCGCCGCCAGGGCAGAACTGCTCGCCCTCCTCGTCCAGGTCCTCCCCGACGTTCTCCAGCACCTTTGAAGGAGCCCAGGGACACACACGCATAAACAGGCACAAATCCCATGATTCCCATATGTTTACCCTTGTCCTGGATGCTCGTGTTCCCCTCCACTCACCACATTGTCCATACTTTTCTTGGATTCGGCGATCATTTGGGTCTGCGCCTCCTCCCTCTTGAACCTTCCCGAGGGACAGCACCGCCATGCTCGTGGAGAGCAGGAAGGACACGGGCAGAGGCGCGCCCACGGGCGGCACGCTGCCGGTGTACGGCGGCAGCTCCAGCTCCTGCCACCGGCTCAGCCACCGCAGCTCGTTCTCGCGCAGCGTGCTGAGGTCCCGCCCGCTCGTGCCCGTCTCGTTGCGCGCCGACATGGTCGGCTGCTCCTCTGCGCCGAAGACGAGGCTACCCCGGAGGCAGATGACGCAGGCGAACAGTGCCAGGGCCGCGGCGGCGTCCGTCTTGAAGGTGAGGCCGAACCAGTAGATCTCCTTGTTCAGCCGCGCGCCAACGGGAGGGCGGGCAGATGGCGAGGAGAGGACGGCCTTCTGCGGAGGCGCGTCGCGTCCCCCCTGGCCTTCCACGAGGCCCCTTCGGGATCCTTAGGGCCTCTCCACAGGACTGGGGCCGACATGCACTCCAGGGGGCCTACCGCCCCCGTGCGCCCTGCCCCCCCCCCCCCTTTGCGCGCGCCGCCGGTCTCCCTTGCGCAGATCAGAATGCAGCACGCGGGCCCGGCCAGGGAGCCGAGCTTGGCAGCGCCGGTGGCGCCCAGCGCCACAGCAGCCACCGCGGCGACGCCGAGGGCCTTCAGCACGGCGCCCAGCAGCAGCAGCGAGCCGGTGGGCGCGGCGAGGGCCGCCATCCCGGCGCAGAGGTCCGCGACCTCGAGGGCCGACTTCTGCATGCCCGGATCGATGATATCGATGCCCGAGGTCATGAAGAAGTCCAAGGTGTAGCAGCCGAACCAGGAGAATGCCGTGATCACCAGCATGCTGCGGTAGAACACCACCTGCGCTTGCTCCTCTGGTCGCATGCAAGGATTTGCCCCCAAGGGCAGAAGTGACCCTTGGTTCGCGGCATCAGGGAGGCACGCGCAAGCCGCTGCCGCGGCATCGAACTCAGCGATCGGGGGACTCCAGTGGGCCCGCACCAGAGGTCACTCCGGCGAAGGGCCACTCTTACCCTGAGATCAAACGTCGCGAGACAACGGCAACGTCTTGAATTACAGTCGGACCTAGGCCAGAGGAACATCCTTCAAGAACATGAGACCCTCCCTAGGCCAAGAAACACAAAACATCCAAGGGTACCCTCCCCGGGATGCACAAGAACATCCAACAAACACGAAAAATAATAGGGTAGCCTCCCCAAGCCGACCTCGATCTTACACATCGGTCCGACTGTGTCACCACGAGAGCCTGCACCCCATCCTCCTGCGGCAAGCTCTTCAGCCGGATCCACCTGTGAGGGCCACGGGGCCCCGAGTCTCGTAAAAACCCAGGGATGACGATATAGTGCAGCGCCCATGTCTGAGGGGCAACGATAGGGAGGTCCAGCACAGCGGGGGAAGCATCGAGCTTGCATCGGCGATACGTCGCGATGTACTATCGGCGATGGGGCCCCGATAGCGAATCCGCACGTTCATGGGGGGGGCTCCCAGACCCCTATCGGCGATCAATGGTTGATTTGGGGTCGATGCATCCCCCCTCTGAGCCAAGGTCAGGCTGCTGAAATAAAAAACGATACATTAAGAACTGTTCTCCTGTTCTTCCAAGCCGAGCCGTGAAATCCGAAGGAACGGCCGTAGAATCCGAAGAACACGCTCGTAGACCTGAGGAATCACTGAGTCTCTTCCGACCTCGAACTGGACCCTATTTCCACGAGCTGACTGCACCTCAGGCAGACGAGCCGACCTTTTTTCAACGAGCCGACCTCACGCTGCCACCCGAGATCTCAGTTGGCGGCACGCACAAGGAGGTAGGGGGAGGGGGGAAGGCCTCTTAGGAGGCTGCTTCTTAAAAAGCGCCAGCCTCACATCTCCAGATGAGGCCCGCGCCTTCTGAGAAGCAGCCTCCTGCCAAGAAGCCTCCCCCCTCCCCCTATCAGACGAAGCCCGTACGAGGCTCAGGTCGGTAATCTCTGAGATCCGGCGGCCCTGGAGGATGTATCGGGCGCCGCGGCCTTCTCAGAGCGTTCCAGAACGCTCTGAGAGCCTACCTACCAAACCACCCCAACCCAACCCGAAAGACCGAATTTTGCCCGAATTTCGGGTTAGGGGGGGGGGGGTACGGGTTCCATGTGTTTTCTCAAGTGTTCCCCCCCCCCCACACTAGAGATGGAGCGCAGATCGGGGCCTTCGGGTCGAGGTGGGATGCTTTGGTGGGCGGTGAGCTCTGGAACGGACCCATCCTCGCCCAGGCCCCGCCCGACCCCGGGCCCCCTCTGCGCGTGCCTGACCCCGGCAGGGGGCCACTCCGGCGAGGGGCCGCCCCTTGCGCGCCCCCGGCCGCTCCTCGGGCGTGGGGCCCCCCCCGCCGCCGCCGCCCGCCTTCCCCGCCTTGCCCCTCAGCCTGACCTCCGGGATCTGCGGGGCGGGCACCTGTGGAGGCCTCCCCTTGCCATGGCTCGGACGTCCATTCCCCGTGCTTTGTCCGGCTTCGTGCGTTTATTTCTCGCGAGATGTTCCAGGATGCTCCCCGATGTTGCCCGCCGAGGAAAAAGGCACACGTCCGAGCGATGCCAAGTCCCTGGTGGGGTCCGACCAGGTGGGGTCGGAGGAGCGCGCCGCATCGCCGACGCATCACGGATGCATCGGCGATGAGTCGGTGATGCATCGGCGATGCATCGGCGACGTAGGTTGTGCAGCGGCGACACCAGCGCGGAGCGAATCGGGCTCCGCATCGAGCCGCATCCGGCGATGCTTCGGCGATGCGGCGGCATCTTCCGATCCCACCTACGCACTCGGACCCCATTTGGGAGGCCTGGAGCACCGCTGGCGCCGCCGCCGCGCCGGCAGCCGTCCGGGCACCGCCTGGGGGAACGCGGACACCGGCATCGAGCGCGGCCTGACCGACCCCCTTCGTGATCGAGGGCCCCCGTCTGGCCGCCTGGCCACGCCTCCGAGCGAGGCGGGGATGTCGTCACGGAAGGGGTCGGTCTGCCAGGGGTCGGCCAGGCCGCCGCTGCCGATGCCGCCACTCCCTGGACCTCTCCCGGGGTGCGTCCTGGCCACTTCTCGCCATCGCTCGGACGCCCATTACCCGGGCCTCTTCCAGTCTGTTTTTTTTCCCAGATGACCCAGAAGGCTCCTCGATGGTCCTCGCCGAGAAGAGTACACACGTCCGGACGATGCCAAGACATGGACTTCGAGGCGATCCCAGGCCTCCGACGACGTGATGGCTTCATGGTCCGAGGCGGCAGGGGCCTTGACTCTTTCCCACGGGGCCAGTCTGGACCGGCTCGGAGGGGCGAAACATTGCCTTGTAATCGGCGATTGGTCGCCGATGGATCGGCGACAGGCGCACGATATAGCCCAAACCGCACGTTCCTGGGCGGGGTAAGGCACCCACGCCCCGATTGGCGAGGAATGGGCGATTGGGGGTCGATGATTCCCCCCTGGGCCAGCCCACCCCGCCCTGTCCTCTGAGGTTCGGCACGCCCGGAAGGGGGACGATACCCGAATGCAAGTGTCCGCCCACGCCAACAACTGCCGCTGGTGGGCAATCGACTTCTACACCGAACGGACGACGCCCGTGGCGGCCAGCGAGCCCGGCTCGAGATGGACTGTCGGTCTTCGTCCCAATTGTCTCAGGACGCCCCATCGGACTAGGCTCAGCCCCCAGGCCCCCAGGGGCTGGGTGGTCATGGCCGCGGCGCTCAGAAATTCACATTGTCGCGCTGGCAGAAAGCAGCGTCGAGCCGCATGGTGCCAGGATGCCGTGTCTGCAGCCACGTTGTACTGAAGCAAGGAACTCTTCCCCACGGAAGAATGAAATAGATGCCTCCTCAATGGGGTTCGACCAGATGGGGTCGGAGGATGGCGCAGCATCGCCGATACATCGGGAGCGCCGGCGATGCATCGGCGACGTCGGCGTGGAGAAGATCGGGCTCCATTTCGAGCCGCATCGCCGATGAATCCGCGATGTGGCGCGATCCACCGACCTCATCTACTCGGACCCCATGTGGGAGGCCTAGGAGAAACCATATTCATTCCCGCACCCGTACGGCGGGTTCGTGTCGTGCCGATTTAGGCGTTCCTGACACCGCAGGGATCGTTTGACCTTGAACGATCGGCCGCTTCTGAAACGTCAGATCGTTCAACATCGACCGATTCTGGGTCTCCCTCATCGAATACCAGACGCTAGCGCACGCTAGCTTTGAAGACGGAACTGCGAAAACATACCAACATAGCTGCCCCGATACGCAACACGCAACACGTAGCGTATTGATACGGAGCTCAACACGTAGACTGACAACGTCGGTGTGACGCGATCCGCTCGCCAAAGCGTGAGCCCATACACTGAGCCAACACGCAGCGTGCTAAACTGGACATTTTGAACATGGGACGTGTCGCGTTTAAAAACGGGTGTATCGAGGCGACTGAACATAATTACAAAAACCTCCCATGATTTGCTGCCGAACCCAGTCGTCAGCACATCCGGTGTCGTTTCGCCCTCCAGTCGCCTCTCTGGCGCGGCCCCTGGGCGCCAGCGCGCGCCTGCGCGGCGCCCGCGGCCGCGCCCGCGGCCGCCCGCGGCCCGTGGGCGCCCGCGCCACCCGCCGGCGCGGCCAGCGCCGGCGCTGGCGGCGGCCGCGGCCGCAGGCCCAACAGCGAGGCGAGGATGTGCCACGGAGGGGGGGCCCAGGCCTCCGACAACTGTCCTGTAGAGACCTCCCAGAGGAGCGACGATCGAAAACGGGTCTTACGCGAGATGGTACAGCGACCTTACGCGGTGGCTTATATACGCGGGCCGCTGGCGCGGCACGCTACACTGGAGACGAGGGCGTTTCCGCGCGACCTCAAGCGGGCATCTTACTCGCCAACGTCAGCGCAATCGACCTCGTTTCTCTGCCTCGCTCAGCTGTCCTAGAGGCCTCCCAGATGGGGTCGGAGTAGATGGTGTCGGAGGATCGCGCCGCATCGTCGATGCATCATCGACGCCTTGACGATGCACCGTCGACGTCGGCAGTGCATCGGCAACGCCGACGTCAAGAAAAACGGGATCCACATCTGGCCGCATCGGCGATGCATCGACGATGCGGCGCGATTCCCCGACCCCACTTTTGAGAGACCTAGAGTCTTTCCACTCTGCCTGGCCAACAGTAAACAAAGCAGCGACAAATCTGCTGATGACCACGCTAAGCGCTGTGGTTCAGCGCATGCCCTCAGAGGGGGAAGGGGTGCGAAGAGGTGAGAAGTCGAGAAGCCCCTTCGGACTAAGGGGTGGGCACGAGGCAAGGACCCGCGTTAAGGGTGAAATGTGCACAGACCGTCACCCTCCACCCGTATTGAGGGTAAAAACAACACGCAGACCACAGGCCTCCGCCGAATTGCAAAACTCGAGGTGTTCTTGGTCGCTCTGGGGGCCACCCGGGGCGCTCTCGCCTCCACGGCTGGATCCGCCCCGAAATCCTGGCCAGAGAGCAGTCTAGAACAGGTACGTGGGCCGTTGTTTGACAGCCGACCCCAGACCTCCGACGTCTTGGCAAAAGTCAAAGCGAACGGCTTTGGTCAGAAAGAGGGGGCCGAACGGTCTCACACTGTCTCTTTATGCCGTGGCTGAAATGGGGCTCCATGGTGGCGAGTTTTGCCGTGCTGTGCTGCGTCGGCAAGCCCCAATTCTGGCGTACTCGAGTCTCACGTTTCCCCGAATCGGCGCCAAGGGCGTGGAGTAAACTGGGCTCCGCATCAAGCCGCATCGGCGATGCATCGGCAATGCCGCGCGATCCTCCGACCCCACCTGCTCGGGCCACATCCGGGAGGCCCGGCGCCACGCGGCGCAGGAAGGCCGGACCCCCAACGTCATGATCCTTTCA